ATGCAACATGCAACATGCAACATGCAACATGCAACATGCAACATGCAACATGCAACATGCAACAAAACATTCACCAACCTTTTAAAAATAGCTTTACATAATTGTACTTTCGAGGATTATGCGAGCGTCAGAAATGAAAATGAGAATTTTTTACACGTGGAAACCATCATATATTTCGTCTATATAATTACTGTTGCTGTAAAGTAGAAATATTAAGAAAGTTTAAGTCCACAAGTCGACAAATCAAATATTTTGCTGTAATTCAAGATCCAATATATTATTAATCCATTATAATTTACAATTCATTTGACTATTCTGGGAACATTAAGTGGGTTGGGGTTGACAGTTAGTTGTTTCCTCACTAATCTTGTATTATCAGTCTTTTTCATGGCCAGCATGCAAAACCACAATATAAATACATACAACTACTGCTATGATAAATTAACGTGACAATCAGACACTTATTTTTTACGACGTCTCACTTGAATTCAACGAAGAACGAAAACGTTACCCTGTGTGCGCTACTAATGTACCTCCTCACACAGCTACCAAAACTATAAATAGACCTTACATTCTTTAAGATCACGTGATTACTTACCGCCATTTTGAATATTAAACATGCAATAATTTTAGACTAGCTTCGACTACAAGATCAGATTGAGCTGGACGTAGCAAAGTAAACCTAAGATATGTAAAATTATCCAGAAAACATTGATGTAAATAGCCCACTTTAGAGATATGCTTCGCTTGCCAAACACAAAGGTTTCATTTACGAGGCTACGTGCTAGAATGAATTCATTCTTTTCTCTTGTCAAAATTCACTGAGCATTGGGAATAAGCTCTCACATTGAAACACTTGTGCGTGGCAAGCCAGGCATATATCGGAAGTGGACATTAAACGCTTTGAATCACGTGTGTAAAGTTTTGGCTCGAAAGTATCACGTGACCTGGCAACATCGTGGATCGGAAACCGGACCATTCAGGGTAAAGACTAATATTAAATATTTCGAAAAATTCTCCCAAGAATATTCCAACGATTTTTTTTCCTATCGAAATTTTTACCATATTTCTACCCTACCCAATTAATTAATTTTACATATGGGTGTCTATATTTTTATACTTATGAATGAAAGCATTCCCGGCCCTTTGAACCTGTCCGGTTAATATTGGATATTTCAAACATTATACTATACTTCTTGTACACAGAAAACTGTTCTGGTTTTATACTATTTTCCCATTGATAGGATACGCCTAGTTATAGTCCGTTCTTGGAATAAATTTGTGTCCAATCAGAATCATTATTGACACGTGGCCTGTTCACACCTTGAACATCTTCTTTACAGTGTAGCCCTGAGAAGGTAAATACAAAAAAGTTTTTTTAGTGTTTAGAATGTCCTAAATTAAATATAGAGTAGATTATACGATAAGACTTTTCAGGGTCAAGGAAAGAACTGAGCCGAATTGTCTTTGCAGTGCATCGTGGGACTGTTTAAGGGTACGAAATAAACGCTAATTTTGGAAATATGTCCCTAAAACAATCCCTCAATGCTGTATGCATTAGAATGCTAACTCGACCCAGTTTTTCCCCTCGACCTCAGAATGTCCTATGGTTCACTGAAGATTTTATAATTAACCTTCCTCGCACAGCCGCCATGTTGACTGGAACGATCGATTGTCCCCGTCTAACCTCACATTCAAGCCCTTCAGGGTAATTCTACCCGGGTTTAAGTAAAGGGTTTTATTCTCATTGGAATAAACATGGCTGCCGCTTGAGAAGATTTACTAAGAGGGTTTGTTTGCTCACCGGCATGGCGTACAAGAAGACCAAGACAGCAGCAACAAGAAGCAAGATTACCAGTAACAAAAGGATCCACCATTTGTAGTTACGCCATATGATGTAACGAAGTGTCTTGAAGGGAGACGTGAACCAGCGGAATGATGTTGCTGGGCGACTATGAGGATATGAATAAGGAGTCAGTGGGAATGTAGTGGAGGGGAGGAGAGGGTAGGGTAGGGATGGGTACAGGAAAGAAAAGGAAGTAAAAGTTAGGGAAAATGGAAGGAAGGGAAAGTACAGCAAGRGAGGGGAGGGGAAGAAAAATGTCAGCTAGTGTAGAATATATACTTATTGCAATAAAAATTGAGTGACCTAAAAAGCTCCAAAGCTGAGTAGTCTCAGCTTTCTAGGTTTTTGTTTGGTGGCCAACTTTATTGAAATGAGTATATGATGAAGGCATGTAGGCTGGTTGAAAAGTGCAGCAGAACGAGATAGGATGCAGTAGGGATGGGAGGAAAAAATCTATTGCAGGGCTGAGAGAGAATGAGCAGGATATATCAGAAAATATAAGAAAAGCAAGACGAAGAAAAGGGAAAAAAGTATAGGAAGTGAATGGAAAAGCATTTGAAATCGTTACTTACTTTGGTTCTTCTAATGTTGGGTTCTGGTTTGGCTCTTCTCGACCTCGTCCAGCTGGTTTGGTTGCCGCTTCGTCTTTTGTCAGAAGCTCCAAAGCCATTTCTACTTTACCCTGCAAAATATCATAACACACTTGGTTTA